GAAGCATTCTTTATTCTCTCCATTTGCCTGCTGCTCTCCTGAGAAAGCTTCCAAGAGGCTTCAAGCTTGTTTGTGTGTTCAGCAGAAGCTGTCTGTGTCCCTTGTTCTTTGTGGTTTTTTGACGATTTTTTTTTGCCTGTTGCTTTCCACTTTTTTACTTTGGGTTTTTTTTTTTTTTTTTAAATTATTAATTCTCCATTTTTCCACTTAGAAAAATTATTTATTGCATTGAGATGCACTAATTAAAGCTGTTTTCTGGTATTTGGTTACTGAAGTGTTTGATGTCTCTCTGACAAGACCATGAAATGCACAGAGTGTCCACAGGGACAGAATTTGCTGAACACGGTGCTTTGTAAATGAGGGGACACAGTGTCGCAGCAGCTCATGAATATGAAATGCCCATGATGCTACCTCAGTGGACTTGGGAACACAGATGAATCCTGTCATGTGCTAAATGAGACCAATTTCTTTCACTTAACTTCATCTTCAATCAGACCTTCCATTTGCCTGTTTAAAATTCCCCAAACGTGATGCAGAAGGTAACAGCATTCAGTAAAACAAAGTTTTGCAGCAGCAGAGATATTGTAATTATTTCAGTTTTACGTTTTATGAGCAAGCAACATAAAATAAAGTTAGTTTCATTTTTATACCTTCTTGGTGGTAGGAGAATGCCAGCTCCAGAGGCCACTGCCCTCTCTGTGTTCTCTGGATATGGTGGTGTGTGCACAGGGAGGGCAGCACAGTACCCAACACAAGAGTGTCCATTCTGAATGGCCTTTGAAACACTGACCCAGCTGGGGAAGTGGATCAGACTGTGTAAGATGGAGTCTTTGTGTATGGGTGCCAGGATGGGGGCTCAGGGTACTCTTAAAGCAGCTTAGGGAGTAAGCAGCACACTCTGACTAACTGCAGCCTGAACTGGAACATGGTTTCTAGATGCAGCTTTGCCAGTGATTTATTGCCTGACCTGGAAGAGGTTCTGTCTGTCCCTGGAAGAGATTCTATCTGTCCCTATTTATGTGCCATCTTGTATCTAGCAGACAACTTAGTTCTTTGGGGCAAGGAGCAGATCTTACTGGGAGTTTACAGGATTTTAAGAGACCCAGCCTGCAGGTGTTGCTACTAAACCAAAAATCAGCCCTGCATGGGAGGGGAGGTGCAATTTACCAACTTTCAGGAGCAGCTGGGTATTAGAGTGGTACAGATTCTCCCATCTCCTGCTTGTTGCTTCTGTGGTTGTCTTCTTTGCCTGTCAGTAAGTTATTCGCTAAGAGGTAAAAAAGGTGATGTTTAGTACATTAATATGAATGCATAAAGCTCTCCTTTCTGTATGACTTGAAAAGCTGCTGTTCCTTGCTTATTGTTTGACTGTCTGTCTATCTTTACTCTTTCCCCTCCATCTTCTCCTCCTCCCATTCACACACTTTTGTCTTATGGCGTTGGTGCCTTACCATAACTTAGTCACAAAGCTCTTTTTGTGTAAGGCCTGGCTAAGTTCAGCTGTTCAAATAAAATATTATTCTGAATTAATGCTGGGACTTAGATGTTCTGGGACAATCAGTTTTGTGCAGTGACTTAACCCCCCAGTTAGCCAACTTGGTACTGGTATCTCCTGCCACACTACAACTTCCACATGAGTAAGCTCATTTTGATTTCATTCTTTGTTCACTTGTTATAACCATCTGGGAGGTGGAGGGGAGTTTGCTTTTGTCATCTAGCGTTTGGTTCTCACTCATCTTTGCACAGGCCATTTGTTCACTACATTGAGCTGCTGTGAAGGTGTGTCTTTTTGCAGTCATTTCTGAGGTTTGCCTACATGGGCATGAGAACCTGACCAGTAAAGTATGTGTCAAGGTTCTGCACCAGAAGCACAGGTTTATGGAAAATGATCTGAAACCCCCACACTGAACAGTAGAGGAAAAATGTGGGTCACAAAGTGCACAAAGTGGGGGTTTGTTATACAACTGTTGCTGGAAAAAGATGCAGTGGATTGGGAGGACATGGTCCTGTGAAATTTTCTGCATGTACTAATGTTACATGTAAAGCCTTCCTGCAGCTAGTGGGAGTATTAAAAGTAGAGCATATGCCTACTCCTGCAGCACAACAGCCTGTGCTGTGCTAATCCCCCTGCAGCTGACACTGTGCCACAACTTAGCTGTGTTACCAGAGCGTATAGGAAAAAAGATGTGAATCTCAAGAAGAGCAAAAAAAAACAAATAAGAGGCTGGATAATCAGTGGGGATAAGGTTGGGTCCTTGGTGATAAGCGAGAGCTGAGACACTTTGCAAACTGTACAGAGAGAAGGGAGAGGGATTGTGCTGAAGTGGCACCATGGGAATTGGCAGAGGGAAGAGGTAATTATGAGTAACAAGTGAAATAAAGACCCAAATATTTCAGGAATTATTTGTCCCTGATAGCAGTCAGCCCAGGGACCTGATATTTTCTTAAAATTGGAGACATTTCTGTACTGTTTCCTGTCAGTCTTACAGTCCTAAAGGGCATTGCTTCTGCCTAGAAATGGACAAGGCATCTGCACTTTGCAGTAAGAACAAGCGTGCACTGGCCTTTGTTGGAGGGGCTGGCAGGGGCCCCCAGAGCTTTTCCAGCTCTTCTGTCTGAAATATTTTCAAAGTGTCTATAAAATATTGGAGCCTTGAATTTCTTTTGGAAAGAATTTCTAAGTGATCACCTGAATTTTGCTAATACAGAGTGGAGGTCGTGCTCTGCAAGGGGTTTAGAAATCTCTCTATGGAATTCACTGGCAATGAGATAAAATCAGCACTAGAGAACCCAGGATTCTTTGTGAACCTGCAAAATGGAAGGAACATCACTGATCGGGGCCTTAAGTTTACAGCTTTTTCTAGTGTAAAAAGAGATCAACAAAAACAAGAGAGAACTGGCAAGAGAAGACTCCTGAAATAGCTGCCAAAATGAGCACTGAGTGAAGAAATTCAGTTTCCTGCAAACACCTTTTACATTTCTGCTGTCAAAAGTGGATAAACATCTGACCTTCTCCTGCTCTGTGGGTGAAGACAGCTCTGTTCCCAGATAGCTTTTAATTTACTTGTGCTTGCTGAGAAACGTTCACAGTCTCGTCATAAAAGAATAAATTAGTTCAGGAGGGGTTAAATAGTTTCTCATTCCCATGCTCATTTTCCTGGACTTAACAGGGCACCTCTGCACAGAGCTTCATTCCCCTCCTTGGACAGTCTGTTTCCTCCTTCGTTCTTGTTGCTTATATACAGGGACTTTCTCCCACATTATCCCTGAGCAGATTTTACCAGCTGCCTCCACATGTTGGTCTGTCTGTCCCTGGAGATGCTTTTGTCCCATAAGTGCATTTGCTACAAGTTTTACCAAGAGCTGGGAGCCTCTGCAGGAAGGAGCCAGTGGGATAGCAGCTATTACAAGATATTGGCCTCTCAAGCAGAGCTGGGGAGATCTGCCCCAAATGGCCAGCGATGCACAGGTGAGACATTCCATGCACTTGCCTCCTCTGCCGTACGGACAGCCTAGGGGCTGTTGCTGCAGTTTCCCTTTAAATGTCTTTGGGAAGTTTGCTGCAGTTGGAGAACCTCTTCACAGGCACCTGCTCCTTGGAAGCTAGAAGGCACAGCTCTGCTGAGGCCGGCCAAGCTGTCACTCCTCTTGCCGTGGCCATGCTCGTGACAGCCCCTGTCCCGCTCAGCCTTCCTCCAGGCAACCAATTAGCGAGAATTCCCACTGTGTGGCCAGCTCCGGAGGCCACTGCTGCGGGGCCCGGCTGACCCGTGCCCTGCTGCAGCTGGGCCAGCGCTGCCTCCTGGCCGGCGGGCGGGGACACACGGCTGAGACCCTGCGCAGCTCTGACAGGCGGCCGGACTGGGGGCTTCTCGGGAAGACCCTGCCCAGAGCCCTCGGCACCATAGGTGGGAATGTGTCTCCAGCTCCTGAATATTCATCTCGGCCTGGGCTGAAAAACGGGGCAAAGCCAGGCTCAGCTGCCTACTGCCATCCAGCAGTAGCGTTGCTGCTGGCAGATCTGGGAGCAGGCTGCTCCCAGTGCTGAAGGAGCCAGCTCTGCCTGCTTTCTGGGCAAGTGAAACCTTTTCCCTGAGCCAAACCAGCTTCTCCATGATTTGAGGGCTCGGGGTCTCTGGAGAGCCTTTGCAGCCTTGAGCCTTTAATGGAGCTCTGTATTGGTGTATTCTGTTCTTGCTTTGAGCCTCCAGTTACTTTGCCTTCTCTTTCTCCTTTTTTTGCACTAACTTTTTGCAATGCTTTATCAAGTGACAGACTGTGCAATGCTTTCGGGGCCTTGCTTCTTTAGTAGGATGCAATGCACACTCAGTTCTTCCTCTATCCTCAATTCTTTTGTTTCTAGCATCCTTCTTAGTTGGAGTAGCCATTCTCCTTGTACTGGGAATACCCAGTGAACTTCAGCCATTCCAGGATGTTACTAGAAGTCATGAAAAAGGTTTGTGACAATACAAGACGTGTTCCCTAGTGTTTGTATCTGCTAGATCATCAGCACTTCCTTCAGCCTCTGCACAGCCTGAGACCCCAAGAGCAGATCCTTCAACATGCAGTTTTATGTGGATTCTCTCAGTTTCTGCCCCATGTTTCATTTTTAACAGTCTGGGTGACTGGTGTCTGAATGAGTGATAACACATAACAAACAAACTCTTGTCAGTTGATGATGGCAACATAGGCAGCAAGTGGTACAGGTGGCTTCTTTTGGCTTCAAGGTTGTGTTCAGATGCATAGTCCATGGCCTATAGAGCCCTACCTGGATTAATCTGTTCCTCTTGCAAGATTTCTTGTGACCTCAGATTTCAAAGTTTTATTGCCTTGTTTAAATATTAAACAATATATTTTTAATTATTGCTAAATAACTGTTTTGTGTTTCCCTCTAATAAGAAACAGGGTGTTTCATATCTGTGAAGCAAGGGAATCTTTGTCTTCAGTGAGAGGAGAGCACAACACTCCCCACTTACTGCTGCTGCTTTCTCTTGTTGCAGACATTCCTGTGATCCCTGACTTGGAGGATGTCCAGGAGGAAGATCTGGCCATGCAAGTGGCAGCTCCCCCCAGGTAAGAGCACTGCCAGGTGCTCTTGAGGCTCTCATCAGCAGTGCAAACTGGCTAGTGAAATTAAACCCATCTTACTCATGCTCTTTGGATGACAGCAGCAGTGCTGTTCAGCAGGGTTTGGTGTGGTCTTTTGTGACAGTAGTGCTGCAAGCTGAACAGTGCAAAATTCTTGTTTCCTATTACACAGAGAAAGCAATTACTGCATATTCTCTCTATATATAAAAACCTAAATTAGAATAATGTATTTGATGTTGCAAAATCAAACTCTCAAAAGTAGGGAATTTCTTGATTTAAGGTTGTCTGCATAACCCCAAATGTCTCCAATGCACATGCATTATCACACACACTTTAATTTTGATGGTTGTAGGCTGCTTTGTCCTCCACGGAATATTTTTCTTACTCAAGTGTGTAGTTAATTTGCAAAGTACAATCTTCAAAGTGTTGTTTGAAGGGGCTGTTGCAGTAGCCTTGGAGTCAGCTCAAGAGAGACCAGAAAGTTTTAAGAAATGAAAGTTTTTGGAGTTTTGTCTTAAACATACCAGGAAAGTCTTCTTTCCTCTAATGGGGCTATTGCCAAGGTCACAGCCTGGGATTTCTGCTGATCCTTATTTGGACGGGTAGATCTTACTCCTGGCCACAGATGCCTCTCTCACAAGTGAGGAGTAGTTATTGTAATTATATAGCTGTTAACAAAAATAATTGACAGTTTATGTAGTAAATTTAAAATTACTGTGTCTCTCACTGGAATAAATTTCTTTTGCTCTCTCTTTTTTTTTAATAAAGTGATCAGATCCTCCTATATTCATAGTTTTCTTGCAGTAGAAAAGACAAGGGATTTTCATAGACAAACACAAGAAAATTAATTAAATTAATAGAAGTCTTTTCTATAGTGTTGGATCACTTGTGAAGGCAGGTGTGGTACAACAGTGTATCACCCTACACCATGTTTTTCTTGGAAAGCTACATTTTAGGAAGTCATATTTAATAGCTCTGCTGCAGCTCAGACATAAAAAGCCAAAAAACCCTACTAATCTCTAGCTTGTATGGTGTTGCTCTCAGAGGCTCCTTTGCTAAGGCACTGGGGCTGTTTGAATGCTCACTATGGACTTCTTTTCTTTCTAGCCCTTGCAACTAGTCTGTGGATCTTGTTTTGGCATGCTGGTGTCTCTGAGGAGTTTATGGTTGTTCCACATCCTATTTTTATGCATGTGCACACCCTGGTACTTAGATTTGTCAGTGACTGTTCATTTGCTGACTGAGCTGTGCTTCTGTCTGGGTACATCCATCCCAAGAGTCTGCATGGGGGATGTGACACTCGAGATGTCACCAGATGACTGTTCGTGTCACCCTTCTCCTCACATGTGCTTCCACACTGACACAGGCTTGTTCTCTGACCCTTTCTGGCTGCAGTGTGCAGGTGAACCGAGTGCTGACCTACCATGACCTGGACAAAGATCTAATGAAATATGCTGCTTTCCAGACTCTGGTAAGTGGATTTTGCTATGGGCTGGCCAATGTGAATCCCTCTCCTGGGTTCATGTCATTCTCCACAGTGATCCTCAGCTGCACAAAATACACAGCCTTATCATCCAGAGAACTTGCAGTCTCCCTGTAAATCTGTTCCTCTCTGCAACATAGCTTTTGTACTTGTGTCTGTAAATAATGTGCATATGGTACCTGTTTCTCAGATGAGGTTCTTGCTGTTGTCCTGGACAAAGTGACCCTTATGAGGCAAATGTGGCAAAGTCTAACAAATGTATCTGGTGAAATGATGGTGTTCATTTTCCCAGTGTCTGTAAGACTGTGACTCTGTATCATCATAGGATGGGGAGGTAGACCTGAAGCTCCTCACCAAAGTTTTGGCTCCAGAGCATGAGCTACGAGAGGTAAGTCTTTGTTTTGTGGAACACCAACAAGGTAAAAGTTTCTTGTTTGTCTCAGACTGTACTAGGAAAGGAAGACTTGTCAGTGGGGGTGAGAAGAGATGTGAGGAGGAGATTGTCCAAGCTGGTGGAGGTTTGACTTCCCCAGCAGGTGATTTTTAAGATAGGTAGTGCTTTCTTGGTGTGAGTTCATGGCATCACTATGATTGGCCAGTATGAAGTAAGAAGGAGCTGGTCAGGAAAATGTGCAAGGCCTAGTACTGTCAGAGATCCCTGCAGAAACAGTGCTTTGTCCTTTGGTGGCCACCATGAGCTACAGGTCGTTCTACAGAAAAGTACAGAGGGACAAAGGCAGAAAGCATTTTGGGTTTGGGCAGGGGGTTTTTAAAGCAGGACAGAACAACCTCAATAAAACTGGGTGGGCAGGAGCTCAGGACTTGCAACAAAGGATTTCTGCAGCTTTGAACTGCACATGCTTCAGCAGAAGTGGAGAAGAGTGGAAGGGCTTCTTTCTATGCCCTGCATGGGAGTATCTAATATTAACAAGTATCAACAAATATGTCCTTTCTGGATTTTTAGAACATGAATAATTTTGTCCACATTTTAAAATTGTAGCAGATATTCACATTTCTTTCTGGCTAGTATTTCTGCTCTAGCCAGCTGAATCTGAGACTTCCCTGGTCAGGGCAGTTGCCTTTTGGTTTCTGTCTTTGCTGTTCTGGCATTGTTCAGAGAACTTTGGGTGACACAGTAACATTTCAGCATGTTTGTCTTTTTTCCTCTTGGTAGGATGATGTCAGCTGGGATTGGGACCATCTCTTCACAGAGGTGTCATCAGAACTAGTGACTGAGTGGGACCTGGGGCAGTCGGAGAGGGAGGACCACCTGAGTCTCCCATAGAGCTCTGACACACCAGAAGTCTCATACATCCATCTCCTGTAAATAGTTAAGCACTTAGATTTTCTATTCACTTGTTTGTATTTGAGAATTTATTTCAGATGTGAAAATAAATAGGACCTTGCTTCATAGAAAAATTCTCTTGGGAGAAGTTTTGGTTATTTTTTAATAAGAATTTTTCTTCTCAAAAGAAATTAAGAATTCTAAACACAATAAAATATTTACTTATAAAGAGTCATTCCACCTCAATAGCACCTCTGCAGATAACTGCAATGGTTGGTCTTTTCTCTATAGAAACACAGCCTCTCTGGAGTGGACCATCATACAATGGAGTGTGGTTTGCACTGATGGCTATCAGAGAAGCTTGGGCTGATATGACTTGTTTTCATGGGACATCCAGGTTACCATCTTCCTCACAACAGACACCTCAAGTTGTCAGGATATCTGATTTATATTTCATCCAGCAGCCTCCAGCCTTTCCTTGTTAGTTTAACCTCTCTCTTGGAACATTACCTCTGTATTGACTCAGGATGCAGCACCACCTATTAAACTGCCACTTGTTACAACCCCTCTTTATACCTTGAGGTTTCCCAGCTAAATTCTGACCAGGCATAACCTCACTTAGCTTTTGCAATCACATGAAACCACAGCCTGAATGGAGATTGCTTCAGGCATAGGTACTTTGCAAGGAAAATGTTTATTCCATGTGCGTGAAAGAATGGAGCCTGATGCTCTCAAATAAGGTAACTCCCTGGTGGGTGTCTCCTTGGAACCAAGTAACTCACTCTTATTGTCATCTATATAAAGAAAAACTCATTTTGCTGTTAATACCTTGTCCCTGTAGAACTGTGGTCATTATTTGCAGGAAACAGTAACATTACTTCTAAACCAATGTCCTTCAAAGCCTTGCCCTGTTGGAGAATCTTGCTGTATACTTCTGGGGAGTGCAGGTGCTGGGAGGAAGCTTGCTGTGCTGCTTTTCTTTGCTTGTTTGGTTGGTCTAACAGAGCACTGCATTCCCACTTTTGTGACAGCAGGACAAGTCAAATAGCTCACTGTGAATTCACTCTGCAGAATTTCAGGTGAGAGCTGACATGCCAAACAACTTTACCAACAAAAAGAAGGAGTTGGGCCCCACTCTGGGGCCACAAAATAATGGGAGGCTTATCTGTGTTAAGGAAACTGTAAGTTTTTTACAACCAAGACATTTCTCCTATAACTAGAAAACTAAGTGAGGCATAAGCTTGGGAGGCCATTGTATGGAAGATAAACTGAAAGTCTTTCTCTGAGCAGAAAAACCTGTTTTGGTAGGAGCAGAAACTTCACAGCTGACCTAGCACCTACTTTTCTGTGACACTTATGATTCCTGGCCAAAGAGCGTTTAGAATGCTTTGTACATCCAGGAAAAAAAAAAATTAATTCAGCAAACTGAAATAGGTTAGTAAATCAGAAAACAAGCTAGTCTGAGAGGGAAAAAAATAGGTGCTTTGGGCAGCTGGGGACCCTGGGCAGGGCCAGGCCTGTGCCCAGTCTGAGACCTTGGTAACCCAGCAAACACCTGAGTATAGAGCTGGAGAGAAGGGCTTGAAAAAAAATGCCAACATCATCTATTTTATGTCAGGAAGAGGTATCTTTGATTATTTAGTCTCACCTGCTATAATATAGGCCATGGCAGAGTCCTGTGAGAGGAGGCTGAGGTTTGCCTGTCTTTTAGAAAGGCAGACAGTATATTTAAAACTCCTTCCTGGTTACTTTTTAATAGATTATTGCCTTATGGTTTAAACAGACAGTGTATTTAAAACTCCTTCCTGGTTACTTTTTAATAGATTATTGCCTTATGGTTTAAAATCTGCTTTATTTCTAGACTCAGTTTTTGAGTTTCATCTTTTGTTTCTTGAGCATGCTTGCTATCATCTTTCCACAGCCACGCTGTCAGGTATTTTCTCCTTGCTTCAGTATTTATGTGCACTGGGATCAGGTTGTCTCTTTAATTTCCTTCAATAAACTTAATAGACTGAGACTTGTTTCCATGTCTGTTCCACTCCTTGCACAGCTGGAGGAGGGGAGGTGGGTGTCGGGCTCCTGGCCCTTCTCCAGTAAGCTGTTCCCACCCGCCTTCCTTCCACAGTTGTGTTTTAGTTGCAGTGTTGGGAAGATGAATAAGACCTGTTGCTTCTTCTTTCTCAGGTCCTGGTGCTGTCACACACATGTTACTGTCCTTACTAAAGAGGAACAATGAGCTGCTGTTTCATGCCCAAGCTTGTCATGCACCAGTGTGCGTTGGCGGTGACAAAGCTGTCTCAGGAACCCACATTTCTGACAAGTCCTGTGGAAAGAGCATGCAGGAGAGGAAATGGCAGGTGTAACTTTTCCCTCTAGACTGCAAAGCAGTCGCTCTGGTTGAGCCTCAGGTGAGGTAAGAAGAGGGAGCAGTTTTCAAAACAGTGTCCCCAGTTCCTAGGAACTCAGATCAGTGCTCTGGGCTGTGCCTGGCCAAGGCATAGAGTATTCCCTTGCTGGTCTCCACAGACCCTGTATTGCAGAGGGGTAGTGCAAGGTACAGTGGTGTACTTAGGGCCACACATCGAATCTTTGGCAGAATCAGGCTTAGAAATTAAGAACCTCAAGTTCCCAATTCCAGCATGGCTTTCATGTACCTGGCAAGCGTTTTTCATCTTCAATTCAAACATGGCAATTCACTGTAGAGCAGTCTTGCTTAGTCTTTGTTCTGCTCTGTACTTACATTGCTGAGGAAGAGCTGCAAACCTGTCAAGGTGTGTGTGTCAACAGCATGTTGAGCTCAGTGAGCTGGCATGAGGTGTCTGCCCAGGACTTGCTAGGATTTTGGATGGGTGTAAATATCTACCTGTAGATAGCTTCTGGCAGACTCAGCTCAACAGAGCAATACTGGGAAAATGGTGAGCCTCATCACAGATAAAGAAGCGCATAAAGGAAAAATTAAATCTAGGTTCTATCAGTTTTAGAAATCTCTGGTTTTGCTTGCAATAATACATATGATATTTATAGGCTTTCTTGGTAGAGGTGCCTTACTAGAGTGCAGTTTGTCAGTGACGGGGGAGTATTGGGGCTGAGACAGCCTAGGAAACACTGGAAAAAATGGAGGAAATAAAAGCTGAAAAAATGCCGGACCCGGCAACTTTCCATTAAAGAAGCTTTTAGAGGCACTGTGGCTGGCTGTTTTGTTAAGTGTGATAAAGTGAGTGGAGGTGGGGGGGAGCTCCTATGTTAATAAGTTGGAAAGGCACTGCCGTTCCTCTCTCCAAAGCATCTCAGGGAAAGTGGAATTAATTCATGGCATATGCTCCCAGCATCTGCCGCGGTGCCCCGGAGTGGCGGGAGCCGAGTGCCAGGAGTGCGAGCCAGAGCCTGTGTCCCCGCTCCTCTGCGGGCCTTGTGCGGGGCTGCTGCCTGCGGCCGGGCGTGGCTGCTCCAGTGGAACACGCCCAGCTGCCAGCCTGCCCGCTGGGACTGTCACAGCCCGGGCCGCAGGACTTCTGCCTCTGAAGGAGGAGAGATGCTCTAGGCTTGGGGAGGGAGGCGGGGATGTTTGGATATAAGAGACCAGAATTGAATTAGCTTTTGAATGAAAGCTAATCCAATTTTTCCCAAACAGCCTAAATTCCTCCCACAGCATTCCCTGCCCTCTTCTCCAGCCATCTGACTTGTTCTGTCTTGCTATGAGTTTTCCTCTTCCTTCTTTCCCACCATATCTTTACAGATGATTTGATCCTCTCCTTGAGAGAGAGAGCAGACATATTTGGTGTTAGATGGGATTTCATTCTCTGTTTAATGGCTTCTGGGAAATAACTTTTCACACCTTATTTCCCCTTGACTGACCCAGACCACTAGTAGAGTGCTGTGGTAATCTTTGCCTGTGCTTCATGATCTGCCCATGAGCTTTCCCTCAGGAAAGGGCATCCAGAGCCAGCCCTCCAGGCTGCTCTTTCTGCAGTCACATCCTTCCACCTTTTTGGACAGCTGCCTGAGATATGGGACACTTTCATGGCCTGTAGAGCTGACAGAGCCAGGAGAAACTGGAGTAGTGGGTGATCCCCAGGCAGGGCAGAGATGCCCCATGCTGCCTACGTGCTGTTCCAGCAACTGCTCCTTGCAGCTTCCCCACTTGTGCTCCCTTTTGAAATGTGGTGCTCCAGTCCTGGCCTGTGCAGGGATGGTGCTGTACTGAGTGAGGGCCAAGGCAGGGCAACATGGGGGATCCACAACTGGGTGCCCTGGTGAGACCAGTCCTCTCAGGGCCGTGCTTTATCCAGGGGTGTGACCTGCACTCCTGGCTGTCTCAGCCTAGGAAGGACCCTGATTGATTCAGTCATGAATGCTGTGTGGCATGGATGTCCAGAGTTCCTGAGCCCACTAATCCCTCTGCCATGATCCCTGGGGAGATGAAACATTTCCTCCTAGTGCCCTGTTACTTGTGTCTGCCCCAGCAGGCTGCTCTGCACAGACCTCACTGGGGCCACAACAGCTCCATGCCATGGGCTCTCTTATCAGGCTCCATCTCCTGTCACTTTCAGGACCACTTCATTATCCTTTTATTAGCCCTCTTCTCCTGCTTATCGTTTTTAATAATCACACTGGATCAGCTGGAGTGCTGACAGCTGCCCCTTGTCTATTCTTTCTGTCTATTTTAATCCTGCCTGCTTATCTGAAATAAACCTGATCCTTTTTCTTTTAATTAAAGAAATTTGGTGAGCCAGCCCCTCCTCCATGCAGAGATAGGACTGATCACACCAGTGATACGGAGGGAGCAGGAAAAGGGGCAGATTACTGGGTGACAGTGTTTTCCACAGCCTGAAGATATGGGATGTCAGAGTAGAGGCTGGAAGAGATTGAGTCACGTGTGTTGTGAGACGAAACACAGCACTGGGTAATTGTGAGGTGCTTATTTTGGGGTCTCTGTGTCTGATCCAACGTGCTGATGCGGGGCTGTGACTACATTGCACCAGTGCAACACAAACAAGGGAGGTCTGTTCCCCTCTCTCTCTTTAGCATGGATGGCAATAGCAATGCCAGGCTCAGAGCCGGTGTGAGTGGCCTGTATGAGTGGCCAGGGCTGCTGGGATCACTGCAGTTCCTACAGGGGCTAGAGGAATTTGTTTCTCAGTGCTTTATAGTGCTGCCAGAAGGTGCAAGTGCTGGTCTTCACAGTGATGCTCCTGCTTTGTGCTTCCACAGGCATTGCTTCCGGGGCCACCGATCTCATTCTAGTCTCTTAAAAATGCCTCACTGAGCAGTTTGCTTGAGTTGAAGTATTTGTGATGTCTGTAGGGACAGGTCACTCAGGGAAGGGCTTTGCAAATAGGCTGGGAGAAAATTGTTGTGCTAATTCACACTTTTATGAACCCATAAACTCAAATCTGCATTCATTGCAATCTGCAAAGTGACTGGAGTGTGGGCTGAAATGCTTAGGAAGTGTTAATCAGGGGTCCGTAACAAAGCAAAACGCCCTGAAGTGCAGCAGCAGGAGCTTGGCCATAAGCAGCAGGAGTATTCAACCTTAGTGCTAGACAGGCCAATTCTTTGGCTCTCAAACGCTTCATTTCAGATGCTCACATTGCA